CAGGGACAGCCTTTACCGGCGTGGGGGGGAGGGGAGGAGAGGGGAGCCAGCCTAGAGGCTGTGGATCAAACAGTTAATGGCAAGCCGTGATCCCAGAGGAGGCTCTGCACACTTTACAACCATCTAGGACATTTCTTCACAGACTTCTTTAAAGGCATTTCGAACCCTTGAGAGCTGATTCAAACCTGGCAGTCTCCTGCAGTGATAGGCAAACCATCCAGCTGCAGCCCTGAGGAAGGGGAACCAACAGCCATGAGCTATGGAGCAAAGGCAGAGGCTGGGGAAGGGGCCCGACCCCCTCTGCTCCCTCAGTGACTTTCCCGTGCCCGTGCTTCCCCTATCACTGGGAACAAGGCACAGAGCACTGCTGACACTGCCAGTAAATTACCCAGCTGAACCTGCCTCTGCCACAGAGCAAACCAATTTAGCAGCCTTCAGGAGGTGCCTTGTGCCCCCCAGAGGACCAAGGCCATGGAGTCAGACCTGACTAGGCAAAGTCCCAGATCTGCGCTCCTGCCCCTGTGACCAGCGAGGAGTTGGGCTGGAAGATGGAGCGTCAATTCCAAGGTCTCCAACACCCCTCCCAGCCACCGCCTGTCCCCAGCACAGACTCAGGCACGCTCCCTGGAGAAAGCGGGCACCTTGCGGACACTGCTAAGTAGATCCTGAGCACGGGCTGATGTCCCTAGAGGGTATTTATGGGCTCTGGGCCTGCTCCCAGGTCCTGGACACGGACTCTTCCATTTCTTAGTGACAACTTTTCCTAAGTGTGTTTCATCAATCTAAGGGCGGTAAAATCCTTCGCTCTTCAGTGGTCCATAGAGTGCAATTTGTCTCATGCTGGGGACTTTACAAAGAGTCCGGGATGGTGAAACAGAGTGGATGAAACATGAGGATGTGGTCCCTGCCAGTTGGCCTGAAGGAGCTGGACACTCCCAGAGGCAGATTCTGGCCACCAGCACCAATCCCACCCATCCATCTGACTCAGGGACTGCTGGGGAAGCAGCAGGGCTCCAAGCCCCATCTTCTCCACTTTGTCCCATGATGAGGGACCTGGAGGGCTCTGACTCCTTGTATGTGCATACAAGGACCTCCAGTCCCTTCTTGAGGAAATAAGAGAACAAAATCTTGTCTTGGTGTCAAAAGCACAATGGTAGCAGGGACAGACTATGAGCAGACAGTGTGACAAGTCCTAGGATGCTCCCCTCCAGTGAGGGAGGAATTGAGGTTTTTACTGAAAACTCAGTGTCACCATGAGCACAGATGGTTATCAGCATTCCTCTGCTTGAGGAAGAGGCCAACTCTGGAACACAGTGGTCTAGGCTGTGGGACTCCACGACAGTCACACGCCACGAGATCCCCTGGCTGATATCACTGGCAGGTTGTGCCTACTACACCTCCTTTTCTTAGTCACATCTTCAATCTCCATTAACCCAGTTTGGGTCAATCCATTCATTTCTTCTGTGTGCATCCTCCTGCCACCAATGTGTGAAAATAACATCTAAAATATCATCAAGGCTTCACTGAGCACGCACTAGGTGCCTTCCAGACAGGACACCAAGGGCTAGGGTTGCAAATACAAGACAAAGAAAGACAATCCCTGCCCTCGAGGACCTGCTCAGGGGTGTGGTGGAGAAGATCAGGAGAAGAAGGAGCACACAGTGGGAAGAACCACGAACCAGAGCCAACCGATCAGACCAGGGGCTAAAAGGGAGATGTGAGGAGCGATTTTAGCCCTGGAGAAGAGATGAGGAAATCCACGTGGTTCCTTTCACCAGAGAGGCTAGGGGAGGGGGGAGGGGGCAAGCACTCTCAAACAGTGTCTCTGGTTAGGGGGTTTTCTGTGATTTCTCAGAGGTCTGGCTACATTTCTGGCATTCCATCTTTCTGAAGGAACAGATGATTACTGAAGAGATGAACTGATTTCAGATACTTCTACTGAGGCATCTACCAAGAATAAAGTGTGCAGTTTTTGTAATGAGTAAAGGGACAAGAATAAACAGAGGCATTGCGCATCAATTCACGTGCAAAGTCCTCAAAAGAACTGGAAATGGTGGTAGACACAGGAAAACTGGTGGGACACACACACATACACACTCTGTTGTAGACATTTGGCAGCATGGCCAAGGCAGAAGGTTTTCTTGGTACAAAATGCCACAATCAGAACTTCTGATCCAAAACGACACTAACTCTGTCCTAGATCCCAAAGAACACTAAGGGTTCAGAATAGAGACTCCACATTATCAAGACCAACCAAATGACCAAATGCACACAAAATTACTCATTTTACGGATAATAATGTGTTCATTTGTTGGCAGCCTTAAAAAGCATGGAGGAAAAAAATGAACATTACAAACTCTAATTCTACATATGAGTTAATTTAAATTTAATTAAAACCAGTCAAGCAAAATTATTTATGAAGTATCTACTATGTGCCAGGCACTATGTCAAAGTCCCTGCCCTCAAGGAGCTCCCAGTCTAATGGTGGAGACAACATGCAAAAGGCCCTCTTCATACAAGATACTGAGGGAAAATCGGAGGGAATCTGGGAGAGAAGGCAGGAAGAGACTGGGAAAGTGCAAGAAAGGCAAGGAGCTGCCATTCTACTGGGGAGACAGTGTGGACATAAACAGGCCCGTCTAAGTACAGAGCGAATGGAAAGCCTTCTTCAGAGAGAAGAAGACAAGATGTGCGCTTCACCCACAACTCATCTGTAAATACAGAGGGCCAAAAACCATCACAGGTCACCTTCCTTCAAGTCACTGACTGAACTGAGATCGGTTTCCTAGAGGCTTTTTAGAAGAGAAACATAATAATGGATATGCTCAAGCCTGAAGAAAGCTCCTAAGGAAATTAAATTCTTACTGGAGCCACAAAACTCAATCAAGGCCCAAAGTGTACTTGCAAAGCCCAAGGCAAGGCCTTGCCCTAACTGAGGAGCTGTTGGGTGGCTTGGCTTTTTTGTCCTTGACTCCACCTGTATAGAAATCAATCAATCTTCAATCAACAAAAGGTGGCCCTTTCCAAGCAAGTATTAACTAATAATTAAGAGACAACTCTAGGGTACTTGAACTGAGGTGTGGCCGAGTCCTGAAGGATGAAAACAAAAGCCCACAAGTGGTCACGTGTCAAATCACATTATTTAAAGGGATAATTATGTAAAATATGGTCAGTGGGAATGTTCAAATTCAAATAAGGCTAGCCCTTATTTACAGCTAGGTCCACAATAACTGGACCTAGCTGTAATAAGCATCTTCCCTAGCAATGATCCCCTACAGGAAATATTGGTTTTATTTTTAGATGCCTTTGGCAAAAGCCACCTGGGAAGAAGTTTCAGAAGAAATAATTAAGTCCCTCCTCTTTCCTTCTGGCTGCTCAGGGTCCTGGAGGGCCCCATCTCCAAGCAGGCACTACAAAGTGCCAACCCCAATAGGCAGGGTCCTCTGGGCTAAGCACCCGGGCACAGGAAAAAATATCCTCAATGAAACGAAATCCTACATTCTGGCTTTGGGGCCAGTAAGAACTTGATTTTCCATTCCAATAAAACCACCTCAAGTAGCTGTTGGAAGCAATCTCACAACTAAAGAAAATTTCCCCACTCTGATGGTAAACAATAAAGTTCAGTACAAACTAAACACAGTTTTTAACATCTCTCTTTACAGCCCTTAAAAACTTTCAGGTCATGGTACAATCAATTCACGATAAGGGAGTTTTTATCCCCAAAAACCGATGTGTGTGAGATGTGCCCGAACGGAGAGGCAGAGGACCTGATCATCAGACTGTAGGATGGCCAGCCAGGTCTGCTGCTTTCGACCCTCCAAAGTCCGGACCTACCAGCCACTCTCCAGGGTGGGAAGGTCAGCCCTCAGAGTCATTATGCAAATCCCAGCCGGCCGGCCAGCTTCTCCCTCATTCCCTTCACCCAGGCTAAATTGCCGCATAGGGGCCAGAGGAGGCCGAGGAAGGAGGCAGGCGGGGAGGGCAGCGACGGAGAGCCCGGCCCGGCGGTTTTCATTCATCCAGTGACTGGAGTGATGTCACGGCAGCGGGAGGTGCGGCTCAGCCCGGCCTTGGCCCTCGGGAGGCTGGGGCCTGCAAAATTCGGGGGAAACTAAGTCTGCAGTCACTGTAAAAATGAAAACACCGTTCCTGCGACTCCTCCCGAAGGAGGGAAGGGATTTGGGGACGAGGGGGGCTCCCAAGTCCTCCGGACAGGGGCACAGCACCTACCAGCCGAGAAGCCCCCCTGGGACCCAGAGCCCAAAGTCTCCCTCGGCATTGCCTGGAGGATGGCAGGGGGCAGGTACGGGGCGGGCCCTCATGCGGGGGAGGGGGGACTGGAGCATCACGTGCCCCAAAGGGCCCAGTGGCAGCCGCGGGCATTCTCGGGGCGACCACGTCAGTTTCCTTCATTCATTTGCGACTTGCGGGAGCCGGTCAGTTTCTGCAGCAGCTGGCTGGGGGGGCTGAGGCGGAGCATGGCCTGCAGATTAGGGGACCCCCGAGACCGCCCGCCTAGGGGGCTGGAAATGACCGGCTAAGGACGAGCCCGAAAAGGAGCAGCAGCACGCCCCCACTGGCGTCCACGCACCCCGACCACCGCGCCCCTCCGGCAACCCGTGGGTCCGGGGCGGGGGGCTGCCTCTGGGCGCCCCCTGTCCCGCACAGCCCCGGGGTGTAGGCTAGGGGATGGGGAGGGAGGCACGCACAGGACCGAGCGCGCGCACTCACACGCACGCGAGCATGTACACAGACAGACAGACAGACAGACACAGACACACACACACACACACACACACACACACACACACACACACACACACACACAGAGTAGGGTGCTCGTGCCCCTTCCCACATCTCCGATCCTGGGGTTCCCGGGAGGCTGTCCAGAGGCACGACGGCTGGGGGCCTTTCACCCAAGGAAGCGATTCCACCACCCTCCCTCTCCCCACCCTGCGCCTCAGTTTCCCCCAGCCTCTCGGTCTCCCCGGCGCCCTTACCTCGGGGCTCCGGGGAACCGCTCCTGCGCCGGGGCCGGCCCTGGGGCCGCGGGGGGTCAGGGGCCGGGGGGCTGGGCCCCCCGCGCAGCAGCTGGAACGGCACCGTGGCGCGGATGGGCTGCAGCAGGCGGCCGGCGCCCGGGGCCGTGGGGGAGCTGGCGGCGCTGCGCCGCATCCGGGGGCCCGTGGGGGGCGGCGGGGGAGGGGGCTGCGCGGGGCCGGGGCCCCCAGCCAAGCCCGCAGCACCCCCCGCCGCCGTTACCGACATGGCCCGGGAGGGGGAGGGGGAGGGCACGCCGAGGGAGCAGGGGCGCGTGCCCGGCGGGCGCGTGCGTGGGCGGGGGCGGGGCGCGCCCCCGGGGCGGGCTCGGCTCCTCGGGCTCAGGGCCACCTCAGCCTCCGCTGCCGCCGCCGCTGCCGCTGCCGCCCGGAGCCGGGGCCGGAGCCTGGGCCGGGGCCGGGGCCCGGCGCCCCCATGGCGCCGCCGACAGGACCCACTTGGGCGTCCGCTCACATCGTCTGCCTCCGCCTCCGCCTCCGCTCCCGCAGCTCTTCCGAGCAGCCGCCGTAGCCGCCGCCGCCGCCTGACGCCGCCCCCCAGAGCCCCGGACCGGCAGCTACCCCTGCCGTGCCTCGATTGGCCCCGGCTCGGAGCGACGGGCGCGTCGACCAATGAAGGGTGCAGCTGGCGCCGCGGGGGCGGGGCATGCTCATGAAAGCAGAGGGGCGGGGCGTCCGCCTGACAGCCTCGGAGGGAAGGCGGGGTCTGCCCTGCGCGCTCCTCCTCCGGCCCCGCCCCCCTCCCGGGCGCACCTGCCCTCAGAGCTTGAGGCAGCTCGTGGCTGGAGGTAGACCCTTTTGGGAAGCGGACCCATTTCACAAAGAAGAAACTGAGGCCAGAGACCAGCTTCCCCCACCCCAAGTCACCGAGGCCTCCCACGGTGGCCCGGGCCCCAGAGGCGCCCAGCAGCGAGGGAAGGAGGGAAGGGACGACAGATCCCGGAATTGCAGCTGGAGGAGCCCGGGCGGGGAGGGGGGGGGGGAGTCGGGAAGGGGGGAGGGGTAGGGCTTTTCTTGCTGGTCACCCTCTCTCCCACCTGAGACTTCACCAATTAGCCCTTGACCTCTGGGGATCCTTGCAGAGCCACTACTCCAACGAGCACTCCTGAAGCGCCAACTGTATTCTCGGCCCTGTGCATGACGCTGAGGATACCCACCGATCCTGCCCTGGAGCAGTCTGCCTAGGGGTTGGGGGAGGGGTCGGGGCCAGGAGCACCTTGTGGAGGGGGGATGTGGCACGTGGCTGGTTTGGCTGAGAACGGGTTGGAGGAGACCACCCTACAGGGTCACGTGCGTGGACTTGGCCCAGGAAGGGAAAAGGCATCAGAAGCCATGGGGGACAGACAGCCCGTAGGGAGCACGGAGAGTTTTGTTTCTAAAGGAAATCCACCGAAGGGCAAAGGCACAGAGGAGACCTTTTTAATCGTCAAGAGGAGAATCAATTCATGAACTAGTATGAAGCCTCTCCTATGGGCCAGGCACATGTTAGGTATCCCATACAAAAGACAATGTCTCCATCCAAGGTGGGAGGGGATCAAGAAGGAACCTTCAAGGTCCCTATGGCAGCCAAGGAGCACAGGCAGGGCTTTCTACTCTTCCAGCATCCCCACCCTCAGCAGCTCGGGACAGTGGCCCCACAGGTAAGATGGAGGCAAGACAGCCCCTTTAGAAACAGCAGTCCCAGCCTATGCACTTGAGGTGCAGAGGAACCACCATGTGCGCTGGAGGTGCTGGGCAGGAGAGCCCAAGGTAATGTCCTTTCGGGATCTCCTGGGATGCACCAGAGGCCTTCCTTCAGTGGTGGACCATCACCAACATACCTTCTGTCTGGTCTGTACATACCTTTACGAAGTGGATGGTGCTTGGGAATCCTCCCTTAGATTGGGAGCTCTATGACAGCAAGCACTGATCATTCACCAGCTCTTGGTGCCTAGCATGTGGTAGGCCCTGACTGGCTAGTGAGTCACGGTTTCCATTGGTCTGTGACAGCAGAGGCAGGATGCCCAGGAGGCTTTATTAGAATGAAAACCTTAAACATGAAAAGGAATAATCCTTGGATTCCTGCCTGTGCATCTTCCTGGCGGAGAACAATGACAAGCAGGGTTTTTCTCCTCTTCCAATTCTGTTTGCGACATATTGAGAGTGAGGTGGCTATGGGTCATCCAGATGATGTCAGCCACCAGTTTGTGCCGAGATGGGAACACAGGAGACAAACGAGGGCCCTATGTAGGGATCAAGGCTGCATTTGCATAGAGGTGACAATGGAATCCATGGGAAGAGAGAGTATAGAGAGAAGAGGATGGAGTACTGGGGACACCCACATGTGGGTAGAGTGTGGATAATGATGGAAATAAAAAGAAATGGTCAGACAGACAGAAGGGAAATGGGAGAGGGCAATGTCTGGAAAATCCCGGGAGAGGAGAGTGTCGAGAGGTGCCCCAACTGCCAACAGATCAAAGGCCATTAGATTTGGCTGTTGAGAGAGCTTTGGCCATCTTGGAGAGAGCCATCAGAGGCCAAGAGGTGAAGTCAGAAACCAAACTGCTGAGGTCAAGAAGTGAGTGGGAGAAAAGGAGGACAATGTGTTTAGACAGTTTTGTTTTGTTTGTCTCAGGAGTGGGTCAGTGAAAGGCAGGAGAACTATTGGAGGCTGGCTTGGAGGGGTGGCAGGGTCAGATAAAGATCAAGGGCGAAACAGGAAGCATTGCCCCCCCCAATGTGAAAAGCCTCGGTCCTCTCTGGGGGAGGATGGGGGGAGAAGAAAGCCAGGGTGGCCTCTGGACCATGCCGGAAGCTCCTAGATATGTTCCCTACATTCCAGCCAGACTCATGAGGCCCTTCTTGTGTGTCAGCCTGGCCTAGGTGCTGGGGATACAGAGACAAGGGGGGCATTGCCCCAGCCTCTGAGGCAGGTGCTAATAAGGACACAGGTTTGGGAGAAGGCACAAACAGTACGGGGAATCCAGGAAGGCCTACAAGAGGAGGAAGTGGAAGGAGGAAAGGGGATACTCCAAGGTACAGGGGAGGAGGAAAGGTATTCCAGGCATGGAGGTGAGAATGAAGGCTTGTCTGAAGCAAAGAGGCTCTCAGCCAGGGGATGCTCAGGCTCCAATATAAAGTGGGTGAGAAACAGCAACGAATTCTCTGCTGGAAAGGAGTGTGTGTGTGTGTGTGTGTGTGTGTGTGTGTGTGCCTGTACATGATACACACGGTAGGTGGAAGTAACATGAGCAACCAGCACCTAGTGACCAGGAGAGGAGAAGGCACTGGGGGTGGGGGGGAGGGGACAACCCAGCGAAGACCTCCTGCAGAAGGTGCTGCTTGGATTGAGTTTTGAAGGAAGCCAGGATCTCTGAGAGGCAAAGACAAAGAAGCAGAGCATCTCAGGGATGGGGGACTGCCATGCAAAAGCACTGAGGTGGGAAATGGGGCACTGGGCATGAGGAAGCAGAATCAGCTGGTCTGAAGTTTATGTTTCAATTGACAATGTAGACTTGACCCACATCCTTCTCATACTGAGCACCTGAAACTACTACAGATTTTTTTTTAATATTTTACTTTTTCCCAATTACATGTAAAGACAATTTTAAACATTCATTTAAAAACATTTTGTCCAAATTCTCTCCCTCCCCCATCCCTGAGGTGGTAAACAATTTGGTATATAGGTTATATGTGTGCATTCATGCAAAACATATACAAAAAACCCACACCAAAAAAGAAAGGAAGTGAAAAACAGCATGTTTCCATCTGCACTTGGGTGCCATCATTTCCTTCTCTGGACATGGATGGCATTTTTCATCATGAGTCCTTTGGAGTTGTCTTGGATGTTGCTGAGAAGAACTAAGTCAGTGATAGATGAGCATAACACAATGCTGCTGTTACTGTGTACAGCATTCTCCTGGTTCTGCTCGCTTCACCCTGCATCAGTTCCTGTAGCTCTTTCCAGGTTTTTCTGAGATCGTCCTGCTCATCATTTCTTACCAGTACGATTCTTAAAGCTGATGGCAGCTGAGTGCAATTTTGGCCAGTCCTGCCAAGCTGGACAGGCTTGATCACAGGTAAAGAGAATGGTCCCCTAAAGTCATCCTGCCGAGCAGTGTGCACAGAGGTGGCCCCTAACTCTCCTCTGGGCACAGACTCTGCAGGCCCTGCTCTGAGTGATGGACTGGATGCCTGCTGTCCAAGGACCAGCCAGCCACAGCAAGTTCCTCACCCAGCTGGCTATAGGGGAGGAATTTGTGAGCCATAGTGACCCTAAAGAAGGACTGTGGCTAGCTTTGGTGGACAGCTGCCTGAGCTGTCCACTTGAACGGAAGCCCTGGTGTTAGGCCTCGAGAAAGACAATCAGCTTCTCAACAGAAGCAAAGAGGTTTTTGTCTGTAAGTGACCCTGAACAAGTCACTGATCTCCATTTACCTCAGTTTCCTCATCTGTAAGATGGGGGTAATTCTAGCACCTCCCTCCCAGGGTTATTGTGAGGATCAAGTAAGATCATGTCTCTAAAACACAGAGTGCCTGGCACAAGGTAATGGCTAAATGGATGTTAGCTCTTACTGTTATTAGCTGTCATTTTAAACCAGAGGATAATGAGCCAGACTGTCTCTGCCTAAGATCACACACGCCCTCTTCATGTTATAAATGAAGAGAGACTCAGAGGAGAGGACAAGAGACTGCCCAGGTCAACCAGGCAGGTGACCCAGATGGTGTCTGATGGCCGAGAGGTGCCGAGAATGCACCTGAGGTAGCCGCCACCAGCCTGGAGAGTGGGTTCAAAGGTCATATACACACTTGGTGACCCTGGGAAAATCCCCTATAAAGTGTGGACAGTAAATAATAGCTAGGGTGTCACAAGGACTCCTAGGGAAGACTCCCCCAACTCGGCTTCCTCCCACCCCCATGTAAGGCTCAACAAGATCCATCTTGGAAGCACTTTACAAGCTCAAAGCTCTCAGCAAACATCCGCCATCAGTACTGTCAAGGCTCTTTCCGGGGCCTGGGCCACTCTGGCTCTGAAAAGCCCAATAGTTCCATGGAACTGGAGGCCTTCATTGATACCTTTAATATTATTGGAAGGGGAAGTTCACAGTCGTGAGCCTCTGGTCTGGAAAGCAAAGTTTCCACCTGAGTTCCAGAGAGTGACAGGATGAAACAAAGGCCTTCTGATGTCCCAGATGAGACTTAGGACTGGCTTCATGCCTTCAAGCAGGCTCTGACTGCTCCCTCTAAGATTCCTTCGCTGGGTCTTCCTCCAGGTAGACACTCAG